ATGTATATAAAATGCAGTTTATGGGGGCTGGGCTCCATGTTTGAGCACATGCTTAGCCTGTGGGAAGTCCAGGATCAGCAGGGAGGGAAAGAGGGGGGAATTACTGGGTGAGGAGATAATAAAAACTAACTTTGCTTCTTTTTACGTTGTGGTCATTTCCTACTCATATCAAATGCATTCATTATTTTAACAGTAGAAGATATAAAGCTTCTTTAGAGTTAAAAATAAAAGAGAAAAGAAAAAAGGAGAGGAAAAGAAAAGAAACTAAAGAAAAGGTTGGTTCACATAAGACTCAGGAAAGTCAATACTTCTAAGGGAGAGGGAAGGAGGAAGCTTCAATCAGGCAGGGCCTCTCAAGAGGCTTTAAAACACTAAAACCTGGCTGGGGATGTAGTACAATGGTAGAAGTTTTGCCTGGCATGTTCAAGATCCTAAATTTGATCTGGGGGGCGGGGCAGGGCGGGGGAACAGGTAGTAGGGATGCTAGAAGCAAACACCTCTGAGCCCAGAACTTGAACTCAGGAGGCTGAGGCAAGGAGGATCATGCTTGGGACATATAGCAGGACACCATCTCATCTTCTTTTTGAAAAGTTAGGTAATGAATACACATGACCTCAACTTAATATTATTCTTTAAATTATAGGTTTGTGTTAAATATATATATATATATATATACAAATATATGAGAACCGCTTCATAATTTAAAAAGAAGATATGAAGTCGAGCATGGTGCTGCACACCTTTAATCCCAGCACTTGGGGAGGCAGAGGCAGGCAGATCTCTGTGAATTCAAGGCTAGCCTGGTCTACATAGCAAATTCTAGGCCAGCTGGGGCTACAGGGAGACCCTGTCTCAAAAAGACCAAAAAAAAAACAAAACAAAACAAAAAATATATATATACACACACACACATATATGAACAGGGTTGGAGAATCAGAATTCATATAATGCAGACTCTGGCACTTACTGGCTGTATCCCTTAAATCATTTAACACTCTTAACAGCACAGTTTTTCTTATTTGATAGATTATGAAGCTAACAACTAACATCTGTTTATTATTTTTCTTGGTATTTAAAGCACCGTTTAAAGTTCCTAGACTATAAACATACAAACTGTAAATTAACTGTGATGTCATAATAGTATAACATAACTCCTTTTTTTATGCGGTCTTTTTGAAACAGGGTCTCCCTGTAGCCCCAGTTGTCCTGGAACTCACTATGTAGACCAGACTGGCCTTGCACTCACAGAGATCTGCCTGCCTCTGCCTCCCCCAGTGCTGGGATTAAAGGTATATGCCACCACACCCAGTATAATAACTCCTTAATAAACAATAGAACACCCTAATATTAAACCTCAGTGGCAGGGCAACAAAGCTGTTCATCATTCTAGCCTCAGCCTATCTCTCATAATGCTAATATTGTTCTAACATACATATGTAATAAATGTTTTCTTGTATGATTGTGTTTAACCCATAAAGCAATCCTAATGAGGTTAACTTTATTATCTCCACTTTACAGATAAGATCACTGTGCCCAAGATCACAAGCTAGTGGTGTGGATAAGCTTCAGAATGCACACTCTCAGTCTCTGCATTCACTCAGCCTCACTTCTAAACTTCAACTATCTATCCCTCCCATGACACTGAGAGCTCCCTGGCAACTGCTTTTTGTTTATCTCCATCTCCCCTGGCACTTAACAGGCATTAAATAAATAAACAAATAGAGAACATGCATTTCATATATGTACAATATATTTAGGACATGAACTGATTTGTCTCATCTGACAGCCTTTGTGAAGTATGTTTTCTGTTTTGTTTTGCCATTTTAACCACAATTAAGCATATAATTCAAGACTTCCAATACAGTCACAATGTTGTGCACATGCACTAAGTATAAAAGGGTTTTTGTGACTTTACTGAAATCATTCAGCCTTCATATGGTGAATTGGATTTGAAGTTGGAACCCTTGACTCCTAAATTCATGGGTTCTTCATTTTACCCCGGCTTCTGCCTACCAAGACCTCCACCTGCTCTCCCCTTTTCACCAGTGTCTGCAGAGCAAATGAGGTGAAACATTCTGTACACTTTACTATTGCACCAGTGACCATGGTTATAAGGAAAAAAAAAAAAGTCACCAAGAAAGCTCTCCCAGGTGACTACTTTTCATTTTGAGCTTTCAAAAACTAGGGCTTTAACATGACCATCGTATCTCTAGAACATGCCTGTAGAGCCACAAAAGCAATGTCTGCACCCCAGAGAAACGTGATGAGGAGAAATACCTCATTAGTTAGAATACACTCTCATGGAGCCACAGCTAACTGCTCAGCCTTGATTTTTCTTATTGTAATACAGAAAGCATCCTCATAACAAAGCACTTCCAATTCCAAGGATAGCTCCAACCTTCCATCATTCTATCCACTTTGAAAAATTTTTTTTAAAGATTCTGAATGGAGCTGGGCGTGGTAGCACATGCACTTGGGAGGCAGAGGCAGACAGATCTCTGTGAGTTCAATGCCAGCCTGGTCTACATAGTGAGTTCCAGGACAGCTGGGGCTACAGGGAGACCCTGCTTCAAAATTTTATATTCTAAATGGATATTTTTATGTACTCAACTATGAAAGCCAAGGAAAAATACTTTGTTTTCTGACTGAACATTAAGCTTTAATAAAAAAAATTATTTTGATTCCCATTGGTGTCAGCTTTATCCTCTTTCCATCTCCTCATTTTCCCTCAGTCTGGGCTTTAATCAGCAGCCACTTCAAGTTCAACATGTCACAGTTAAAGCAATTAAGTCCAGAAAACTGTTTCCCTAAAGATGTTCCCTCCATCTGTACTCCTCTCTACCTTCAATCATCGAATTCTACCACAACAATGAATTTATCGCTAAGCTTTAAGCCAAATTTCTCATGAATAGATGGAGATACTGTTTTTGTAGTTAATACAACATGCCTGCATCAGCATCATCCCCTTAGAAATAAAATGATTCTATACACTTCATTTATCTATATCTGACAGAATTCTGATCACTGCAATTCCTTAAGAAGAAAATCCAATCTATAGAAATAGCCCGATTATTTTAAATCTTATCAAGCAATGTCAAAAGACAATCAAATGAAAAACTCCATCAGTACCAAACCATCTCACCAATGAATATTTATGACATTTCCATATTTCCCGGCTTCTCTCTGTTTACATAAAGCAGTGGTGCCAAGACTCATCTTAGGATTATTAGCCTGCAATACAATGATGGGCCTAATTGCCTTGCAAACCAGGACACCAATAAATGGAGTCTTCAAGCAATCAATTTTACTGGGGGGTGGGGAGCGGCTAAGTTCTTTCTGCATACGTGCACACTGCCTGCCTAGAAAATAAATTCAGCCTTCAGATTCTTCAGTATCGTTCATCAGTTCTCAAGCAAAAATGCACCCTTAACAACCTCAAGTTCATCAAAATCTATTTAAATTCCAAATACCAGGACTAGTTGTAGATGTACCAAGGGGAGGGAGAAAGGAGAAGGCAGAATCAACATACAGTTTCATCTTCACCCACTTTTCTCTTGAGAGTGGTCTCCCCCCAAAACTTTATGATACAGGAATAGCAAAAAGCACCCCTATTCTCCTCCATGCCACCTTAAATGAACACTCTCCCAACTTTACTGTTTGGGCTGCTGTTATTTCCAAATGACACTAATACAAAACAAACAAACAAAAAGGTCAAATGGATAGCTTAAGATATTCTCTAGGATGATTTTTAACGCACCTTCTCCATCCCTGGAGAAATTCCTTCGATGACCTTCTTACAACTGTCCCTCCCCAAATACAGTCACCAAAGCTGACCATGAAGGTGTCCAACCACTACACCCCGGATGTCTCTTGGAAGGCATCCTAATCCTTCCTCTCCTCCCCAGCTCTGCTCACTGCCCCTCTCCATCCTCTGTCTGTCCCAACCATACCCACAAGTCTCCAGGTCTCTAGTGCCCTCTACCACCTCACCACAGGCAACCAGCTCATCAGAGATATTACTTCTGCAAAACTGGCAGAGGGACATTTTCTTCAAGAGACCATTCCCTAACCTTGCTTGGCACCTGCCACTATTCTTTGCTAGTGTCCTCTGCTTCCAACCTACACCCACTGTGCTCCCTGCAGAGACTCAAAACTCACCCTAGATCTGCTTCCACTGCACCCCATCCCCAATTTCAATCCCTGTCTACCTATCTGGGGCCCAACTTACAACTTACCCCCTCCTGTCAGCTCACTATGACTCTTGTTGAAAGTGTCATCACTATCAAGAGGTCCATATTCCAACCTCCACCAGCTTACGCCAGGAAAACCCCAATTTCTACCTCTTCTGTTCCTTCCAAACCTAAGCTATTTCCTTAAATCTGCACAAATTCCACCATCGCTGGACGACAACTGCCCACGTCAAGCTTAGGTCTCAAGCCATGCCAAACCCCTCACCATCCCCTACCATCTCGACATCAGCCTGCCCCAGATCCACCCCAAATCCCACCTCTCCTGAATTGGCACTCCCCAGGGTCCCATCCAACGTCTACATCCCACGCCACACGGAAAGCATCCTTTAGCCCCCACCGCAGCTCGGATCCCAAGCTGTCAACTGCTTCAGGCCGGCAGCCCCAAATCATCACCTTCATTCAGTCCCCTCCCCCATTAAGACATCCCACTCCAGTCTCCTCTTCCACCTCGCCCCAAGATCATCCCAAATTCCACCTCGACACTCCCCACACGCCACGCTCCTGTCCCAGGTCGGGGTATCCCTCCAGGAAAAGTCGCCCGCCCTCATCTCACTCCCCTGACCTGCAGGACTCCCACCCTCACCCCACCCCCAGCCCGCGCTCGGACCAGTCTCGCCCGCCGACCAGCCGTTCCATCGCCACCTCGGCCCCCTCCCCCAGCCCGCGCCGGGGCCCCGCGGCCCCCACCCTCCTTCTCGCCCGCGCCTCCAGCCCGGGCTCTAGAGCCGGGGGGCGGGGGGGTCTTCTCACCCGCGAGCTGCAGCAGGCGAAAACCGCGAAGGCGGCAGCGGAGGCGACGGTGCCCTTGTCTTCTCTGGAGGCTGCAGCGGCGACGCTCTAGTTCCCTCGGCCGTGTCCAGTAGGGTGGCGGATGGCGCGCAGGGACCGGAGCCTCCTCCTCCTCCTTCTCCTTCTCCTCAGCTACTCGGCTCTGAATTTTCTGCAGTAGCCGCGGAGAAGCCCGACGGTGGGGGGAGGGGACGCTCGGCTGCGGGCAAGAGAGGAGGAGGCAGAGGGAGGGGGCGGGGGACCGCTGAGAAGAGCGGGGGAGGAGGAACCGGCGCGCCGTCGCGACACGTCCCACAGCCTCAGTGCTCATGGACTACATTTCCCAGCATGCCTTGCCGCGGCCCTGGCACGGCCTGCGCCTCCCAACCGCGCGCCAGGACTGAGGGGCCTTGCCCTCTTGAGTCAGGGATGATGGACTGAAGCCGAGAGGCCACGGGAGGCTTTTGAAAACACAAAGATCGCCTTTGGGGGAAATGGGATCTTTCTGCAGCTTCATCTCCCAGTGGCGAAGCACTCTACGTCTCCAACCTGCTCCAACACCTGCTGCCGCCCGAGGGACTACACCTCCCAGCATGCCACACGGCCTCCAATTTGCTCCTTCCGAACCCTTCTCGACCCAGTACTACAGTTCCCAGGGAGTGTGGTCCTTGAGAAATGCTGGGAGATGCAGTTCTCGGTCCTTCCTCCATATTAAGAAAAAGAAGTGAAAGAGAGGAAAAAGGGAAGGACTATATTAACCCACTGAGCATGGGCCTAGATTGTCTCCATCACCTGTAATGCTGTACTGTCCTCGCCATCTGTGTTGACACTGTCTCGCCAGGACTAATGCGGCACAGCTGCCTCACTGGCTTTCCCTGCAAATTTAAGGACAATTCTGCAACCTGAATCCAAATGTAAAAAGGACGTTTATTTATGTTTACATTACTTAAAAGTATTTAACTTGGAAAGATGATCGAAAATTGAAAAAAAAAAAAGAATGCCAAGATTGTTATATTGAGGTTGTTGAAAATGAGACGGAGGAAATGTATGTAGCTATCCGTCAATAGGGGGCTGATAAGTAAATGGTGATGCACACATATAATGTGCTAAGCAGCCATTTAAAATTCTGATAAAGATCTAGGCACCCAAAGCTTTTCAGAATTTGCTCTCAGGGGGAGAAATTTATTTCAGAACAGCATGTTTAGACAGGTTCAACTTATTTGAAGTTTGAAAAGATATTTTATAAGCATAGAAAGATTTCAAGGAAGAGATTCTCCAAAATATTACCAGCGATTATCTTTGAGAAAAAGGTGTTAGGTTTCAAGTTATTGTTATTTTTATATTGCCTGGATTGTTTAAAGGAATATATATCGTTTTCCAAAGACGAAAAGCTATTTCCAAAAAATAAAATTTCCAAATACAACCACCTCCTTTTCCTGCCTAGAAACTGCATGATTCTCCACTGCCTGGATGGTGCTTCAGGTGTCTGTCTTTTAGCTTTCTGTGTGCTCAAAAGCCCCACTATTAAAACAATGGTAGTTAATTCTTATATTAATTTTCTGATTGCTAAGACAAAATACCTGACAAAAGCAACATAAGGAAGGAAAGGTTTATTTTGGCTGAGTTTCATGGTAGGGAAGGTATGGAGGCAGAAGCCGGGCACAGTGCATCCACAGTCAAGAAGCAAGGAGGGATGAATGCCTGCACTCAGCTTTGTCCCTTTTATTCTGTCCTGGGACTCCCATCCCATGGAATAGTACTGCCCACCTTTAGGGTGAGTCTTCCCACCTCAGTTAACCTCATCTAGATAATCCCTCAGCTATGCCCAGAGACTTGGTTTTCTATGGTAATTCCAAGTCCCATGAAATTTATAAGATTAACCATCACACTTGTAATTCATAAAAGAACATTAAGTGAGCAAGGAGAATTTTCTCAGATCTCATTGCCTCTTCTCAAATTGTTCCTTTTTCCGGGTTTTCCACACTCCCTCCTTTCTTTCTTTTTCTACAACACCGCCCCCCTCCAGTTTTTTGGCATCAAGGTCTTACATTGCCCAGATTGGACTGAAACTGGCTATGTAGCTGAAGCTGACCTTGAAACCCTGATACCTCCTGAGCGCTGGAAATAGAGGTTGTTCCATGTACTCAGCTTTTTCTTTTTTTCCCATTCATTCTCCAAATCCAAGACAAAGCTCTACCTTCCCTAGAACATAGTATAGGCACACTGTTTTTTCCTTATATCTTCACTCTTAAAGCAGTGGTTTCTTATCTGGCCAGAGATCATTGTGTTGGAGGGTAAGTGAAGATAAGGGAACAGTGATTGTAAAGAGTCTGCAGAGCACTACCTATACAAAGTTGTCTATAGAATGAATAAAATGCACTTGCACTTAAAAATATTTTTCTGGGCTAAGAGATGGCTCAGCATGTTAAGGCGATAACTGAGCAATCCTAACAGCCAAAATTTAATCCCCCAGAACTAACCACATTAAAAAAAAAAAAACAGTGTGGTGGCACACATCTGTAATCTCAGCACTTCTGTGGCAAAATGGGAGGCAGAGATGGGAAATCACCCAGAAGCTCAAGAGCCCACTAGCCTGGAGTGCACAGTGCAACAGCAGAAATGAGAGGGACCATGCCTCAACAAAGTGGAAGGAAAGAATTGACTCCCAAAAGTTTGATGCTTTTCTTTTGCAGTGCTGGGTATCAAACACAGAGCCTCATGCCTGCTAGCAGAGTTCTGTACCACTGAGCTACAACCCAGCCCTTAATTTTTTGAATTGAATAAATCTTCAGGATCGATCCATTTCTCTGATTCCAGTTGTAAGTAAAACTTTTAATGATTTAGGGTGGGGAAAATATATTCTTTCTCTAGTCAAGTGTTGTGGCACATCTCAGAACTCAGGAGGTTAAGGCAGGAAAATTGAGTATTCACTGTCTTTGCTACATAGAGTGACATTATCTAAAAGAATGAAAGGCGGGGCTGGAGAGATGTCTCAGGCTCAGTGGTTAAGAACACTGGTTGTTCTTGCAGAAGACCCGGGTTCAAATCCCAGCACCCACATGGCAGCTAACAACTGTCTGTAACTCCAGTTCCAGGGTATCCGACAGCCTCTTCTAGGGCATTACATGACACAGGTGCACTTACCTACATGCAGGCAATAGACTCATACACATAAAAATAATAAATAAATTTTTTTTAAAAAAATGAAAGAAAGAAGAAAAAGAAAAAAAAATCTAAGAGCAGTGGCAGGTGTCTATAGTCCCAGCACTTGAGAGATAGAAGACAAAGAATCAGAGTACAAGGCCAGCCTGGGCTACATGGACCCTGTCTCAGAGAGAAGTTGAGATTTTCTTTCTCTACCAATTTTATTAAAAAGATTTAATTTCTCAAACAGCTCTTTTATCTTTATTGATTTTTTTCTGATTAGTGTTTCAGCCATTATGAAATCTCTTTTAGGAATTATTTCCATCAACTCTGCCTTTTCCTTAGAGCAATTAGAGCCATTGTTGATTTTATTTTGTGTTGATTATTCCTACTAAAAGGAATTTTCCCAGGGGTCAGCTTTGCAGTGTTCAATGTTACCAACAAAGATGGGATCATTCAGACTGCTTTTCCATCCATAACAAAGTCTACCACGTGTAGCTTTAGTCATTGTTAGTCTTATTTTACATTGATTTTATTCTATAATATGCAATTTATTCTGTAATCCTATCAAAACAAACTCAGAGTCAAGATGACAGTGTCCAAACACTGTCCTTTACCTGTTACTATCCAATTAACTTGCACTTTGTAATGATTTTGTCCCAGTGATGTTAATGAGATCCTTTGCATCACCTATGTCTCAAAACATCACTGGGAGGCTTTGTACAAATATGGGTTTTATTTTTAGAACTGTTCTGGGAGGCTGGAGAGATGGCTCAATGGTTAAGAGCGCTGGCTCCTCTTGCAGATGACCTGAGTTTGGTTCCCAGAACCCACATGTCAGCTAACAAACAGGTAACTCCAGTTCCAGGGAACTTGATGCCCTCTTCTGACCTTTGTGAGCATTGCATGACTAGGGTGCACTTACAGACATACAGGGAATGCACTAATACACATAAAATAAAAATAATTAATAAATTTTAAAAAAAAAAACAATTAAGCCGGGTGTGGTGGCACACAACTTGAATCCCAGTACTCGGGAGGCAGAGGCAGGAGGATCTTTATGAATTTGAGGCCAGCCTGGTCTACAGAGTGAGTTCCAGGCCAGCTGAGGCTACAGGGAGACCCGGTCTCAAAAAAAAGATCAATAATAATAATAATTTAAAAATAAAATGTTTCAAATAAATAATAAAACTGCGCTGTGGAGCTGGGGATGTAGTTCAGTGGTAATGTTTTGCCTTGCATGCTCAAGGCTCTGAGTTTGATCCCCAGTGTCAAAATAAATAAAACAGCTCTGAGGTCACGCATGGTGGCACACACCTGGGAAGTGGAGGCAGGAAGATTGAGGGTTCAAAGGCCAACCTCAGCTACATAGGGAGTTTGAGGCCAGCCTGTGTCCAAATAAAAAAAAATCTGCTCTGGAAACAGGAAAATGAACAATAAAAACCATGTTTGGAGAATTCATTTTTATTAATGAGCCAAAGGCTGTGTTGGTATTAGAGTATGTTATTTCATTAAAGCCTTCAGCCTGAGCTTCCTTGTATGCCCCTCACCTTTTTTATTTTTTAATTTTTAAATGTATTTATTTATTTTATGTGCATGTGCATTTTGCCTGGTAAGTGTACCACATGCATGCAAGTCAGAAGAGGGCGTCAGATCCCCTGGAACTGGAGTTACAGGAAGTTGTTAGTCACTGTGTGGGTGCTGGGAACTGACCCTGGGTCCTCTGCAAGAGCAACCAGTTCTCTTAACTGTTGAGCCATCACTCCAGCATTCATACCCACACCCTTTTAAAAAATTTAAGTCTGTGTGTCTATGTGCACATGAGTGTGGGTGTCTGCAGAGGCCAGAAGAGTGTTGGGTCCCTTGGAGGTAGACTTATAGGCAGTTGTGACCCACGTGAGAAGGATGCTGGGAACTGAACCCTGGTCCTCTAAAAGAGCAACAAACACCCTTGACCACTAAAACCATCTCTTCAGTCCCTCATATGCCCATTTTAGAGTAGGGGAAGGAAGGGATCAGCTGAGCTACAATGAAAAGCAGGCCTTGGTTTAATTCCTAGTACAGTTTGGCTGGTTATAACTTCCAGAGTTAATTTATACAT